CGGGGGGGAGGGGGGAGGAGAAGAGGGAGAAACAGGGGCAAGCATAGGATGGTCTTACCTGACAGCATTTTTTGCTGCTGCTACTGCAGCCGACTCCCTTCATGCTGCCTTTTTGGGATTGGTGCTGGTTCCTTACACCCTGCCTGGCTGCAGCTAGTGGGGTGCTGGCTCCCTGGGTTCTGCCATTCTGACACCCTCCTCTAAATTGGTGCCTTGGGTTAGTGCCCCCTCACCCCACCCTAGTTGTGCTACTGATCTAAAGCAACTTCCTCATTGATTCAGTCTCCTAAAATACTTAAGAACTCTTTGATGCAACAACTCAGAATGTTTTCTCCTCAAAAAAATGCAGCTGTGTAGAAATGAAAATAAACCTAGAACTCTAGGGCCAGATGCTCAGCATCCAAGAACGTACATTTGCATCACTGAGAGCTAACTTATCCCTAACTGGGTAGCTAGGGAAATCCTCAGCAGGCTTAAAGATGACATTGCTTTATGCTACCAGCATTTTTCTCTGTGGGATTGCAGGATAGGGGGGGGGGGAAGGCAGTGAGGATAAGATGTTAGTGTGTTCTGGCAAAACTGTGTTTACAGAATAGTATGAATTCACCTGACTGAAGATTTAGTCCTGAAATTTATAATTAGCATAACTAACAGGGTAAGGTATTATGAACTTTTGCTCTGTATATGGAATGTATTCAAGTTGCAGCACTGGAAGTTTAGGCTAGATATTAGGAAAAAATTCTCTCACTAGGAGGGTAGTAAAGCACTAGAACAGGTTACCCAGCGAGGTGGTGGAAACGTCATCTTTCAGTGTTTTTGAGACCTGGCTAGATAAATCTTGGCTGGGATGATATAGTGGGGATAGTCCTGCTTTGAGCAACAGGTTGGATTAGATAACTTCCTGAGGTCCCTTCCAACCCTAATTTTCTGTGAATCTATAATGGCACAGAATATTTTACTGCTTTCACTTACAAATAAGGTAATTTTAAAGCTTTATAGGATAGATTAGACCTTTTAAAAGAGCAAGTCATTATCACCTCAAAGTTTCAGAAACCCGAGCATGTCAACTGACCCAAGATGTACAACATGATTCTAATCTTAGAGCTGTCCAGCATTTAAAATCAGAATTATTTTAAAAACAGAGCAAGAACAAAACCATGGATTAAAGAATCTTAGTAATAACTTTAACGGACATTTCAGCGGATATGGAATGTTGAGCTTTTTGGGGTTTTTAGGCAAATTTAATTGCTCGGGTTGCACAGCATGTGATGAATCATTTTTTAAAAACAGTGTGTATGAAAATGATTATAAAGAAGGGAGTGCTTCCCAGAGGAAGGCTTCACAGTACCCCTTACAGAATCACCAAATCAATCTAGTGATATGTTTTTGTTTGAAATCTGAGTGCTACCTCTCTCCTCTATGAATAAGAGCCTTTATACCATGTGACCAGCATGGACAACATAAGAATACAGTTTGTCTTTGTCCTATTTCTTTCATATTTCCCAAAGCTTCTTTGCTGCAGTTATTTGGAGGAAAATCATACAATTGCTAAACATGTAATACTTGATGTAACAATACCTGTTAGCTGGCACAAATGGCATTGCAAATTGTCTAATTAGCTAAGAACAGGAGGAAGAAAGGCTGAGCAAAGCTTTCTTCTAGAGAAGTTACTGATAACATAGCCTCAGGTTGCTTTCTTCCTGCCGAGTAAATCCTGATGTTAACTGCAGAAATACAAAGGGGAGGGAAATTTGAAATGCTTTCTTTACTCAGACAGTCAATATAAACACCGCAATAGCAGAACATTGTGGCACAGACTGAATTGCTTTTCTTAGAGAGTTGCAGGGTCATCATGCAGAGCAGGAACTGGCATGGCACAATATGTATTAAAAGGATAGGAGCAAGGATATCACAAAGAAAAAGAATGTGAATGTGAGAAAGAAAGGCAGGGTGCAAGGGAAGGAGGAGTAGGTAGAAGGAGAGAAAGAAAGAAAGAAAAAGACTGGAAGGAGAGAGAGAAGGATAAAAGAGAGAAAGAGACAAATCAAATATAAAGAAAGAAAATTCAAACAAATGTCTAGAGGAGAGCTTCCGGATGCATGGTGGGGTGTCACTGATCGGGTGGGATGTCAGCCAGATAGGCTGGACAGAGATTTCCATGCATCACACTTTTTGAGTGTGTTTTCATGGTCACTGCTCCCATCACCTACTAGGCTTTATTTCCAAAGTTTTTTTCTGCTTCAGCAGAGAGATCCTGACCTGATCTTGTTATCCCCACATTTCCCCTTCTTTCTCTCACCTGTCAACCGCAATTGCTGTCATGGAGTAGATGCTAGCGAAGACTGCAGTGATGGGGAAGAAGTTATGGAAACGGCAGTAAGCCTCCCCAAAGTACCACTCACTGTGCAGGGCGTAGATGAAGTTGATGAGGGTGTTGAAAGCTGCCATGGAAGCATCTGAGAAGGCCAGGTTCACCAGGAAATAGTTGGTCACTGTCCTCATGCGCTTGTGAGCCAAGATGATCCAGATGACAATCAGATTTCCAAAGACAGCGACAGCCACCACCCCACCATAAGCCAGAGACCACAGGGCAATGCGCCAAGAGGGCTGTACAAACTGGTTGGAGAAGTTGGCTGATGAGGACTGTACAGGGGGAGAAGCATTCCCAGCCTGTGGCCCCAGTGGTTGCTCCCAGCTGTCCCCTGGTCCAGCAAAGCTCATGTTCCATCTGCTGCTCTCATTTGCACTCCAGTTGGCTGCCGGTAAAGAAGTCATCTTGAGTGTTCTCTCCCCTCTTCCCAGCAATGAAAAATACCCCTCAGCCTTTTCCCCCTCCCCCAAAAATGTTAGGTAACAAAACAAGTGTAAGGGAGTGAGTGAGGGATAAGAGCAGGCTTGAGCAATATCACTTGTGGTTATGCTGTTTAGACCGTGAAGGATGCTACATTAGCTGGACCAGTATTGCTGCTGCTTCTAAGTATAAAGTCCCCTTCGCTCTCAGCTCAGACAGCTCTTGCTTTTGGTTTTGCTGAAGAAAGAGATCAGGAGTCGAGGCACCTTTTATAGGCTTATGTATTCCTAGCGTCATAAAGGGAGCAGGGATGATAAATTCTATAGGCTGGTGAGATAACAACTGTTTCTCTCTGTTCTCCCTCCTCCCCTTTCCATTTCATTCATTGTCAACTGCATGCGCTTTTAGTAGCTGTGGAGAAAATCACCAGGAGAATGAATTCTTCTTTCTTTTTCTCTCTCATTTTTGTTTTCTATTTTGGTGGGGGGGGTTTTGTTTCTTTGTTTTTTTACCTTTCTTTCCTCATGCTGTGTTTTCAATAGCTCTTTGCCCTGGCTTTACAGGACTATTAATTGTGTGAATTGCACATTCCAAGACTTGGATCTTAATGAAAATACTTTCATTCTTTTTTGGTTTCAGAACGTTGTCCAAAAAAGCTGCTGCTAAAGTTGGCTCTTAGTTTGGGTTGTGACATTTCTGGGCTTTTGGTAATGCTTTATTAATACATTTTTTCAGAACAATGTATTGGGAGTCTCATTTTCTGCTGTTATGTGGTTTTCCCTCCATTAAGATTTCATTTTACCACATATGATTATCTGTTACTTCTGTTAATTACAGATCAAAAGTGTTTACATTTTTCTTTAGATAAATACATGCTTTTCTGATTTCTAATTGTACTTGATCCATAATAGAAAATTTCATTAGGAAAATTTATTAATGCTAAAACAGAGTTAGTACTTGATGCACATGAAGTTTATTAAGCAGACATTGATTGCAAATGACAACATGATCTGGGGGAAATACTGTTTCCCAGTGAAGTCAGTGGCAAAATTCCAATTGATTACAATAGAGGCAGAATTTCATTTATTGTCTTTTGTGTACATTTTGTTAAACATGGGGAAACAGGGTTATATTTAATTTTATTTATTTTATAATGAAAATAATAAGTCCAGGTTCAAAGTATTTATGTTGATATAAATCCTGCATGCTTTGAATTCTTTGGACTGATTTAAATGTTTTTAATTCACATGAACTTCTTGTAATTTATTATAATACTTATTTTGAACGATCAATATGTTTCATTGCTGTTTATGTCCATTTCCATATTGGATAAGGTGGAATACATGGATTTGGAACCACATGTAATACTTGAAGTTTTAAAAAGCAAGAAACAACTATATTTCTTGGTTCTATAACAACAATTGCAATAAAGATCATATGCTTCACGCAGAAGTTAAATGGAAAGAATGTCAAGCATCAGTGATGATCTACTCCATGTTCCATAAGTTAGGCACTAATGTTTGTCATCAGAATATATTTTCTCTGGAATATATCATAGTGATTAAACATATCCAAAGTCTCTGTTATGTAGGGATACAGTCTGCATTTTGAAACACAAAATTTATACAGAGTTGAAGCATTAATTTGTGCCACTGTCTAACTGCAGTGTTTAAGCAGTAAAAGTAGAACATGTATTTTACTGGCTTTATGTATTCATTTTAGAGTGAATTCTGGTGACTGTAAACACCGAGGTTGGTGTAGGTTGAATGGGATCATATTCATGGCAAAGCTGTGGAGTTAATATATCTTTACCAAAGCACAGCATTCTTGTGAGTTGAATTCAGCAGCTTTCAGCACTGGTCAGTAGAGTTGCTTTTGAGTCTTTGAACTGTGGGACAACATCTGTTCTTCAGGGAACATGGGAAGACTTGTGGGACTATATCAAAGAAATGTCAGCACTTGAGTGATATAGCTTATATCCTTACTGTATCAGCCTGAGGGCAAGCAAGCCACGGGCTTCTGTCTGTAACTCAGAACAAATCAGCTAGCTCCACTGAAAGAGTTCAGTGTGTGGAAAGGAGTTGGCTTGCAGGCAGCACCTGAGTAATAGCCTGAGGTTAGCAATGACACTTTGTCAAGCATGGATAGGCTGCCTCCTAGACCAGCGGTAGTATAACTGTGTTCATGTGATTATCAGGCTAACTAGCATTGCTGACTGACAATGCCAATTAACCTGTACCCATGCTAATTAGTCTGACCACAGTACCATGAGGATCATGGGATCATAGGAAAGTAGGGCTGGAAAGGACCCTATGAGGTTATTTAGTCCAACCCCCTGCTCAAGGCTAGATCATCCCTTATTAAACCATCCTAGTCCAGCATCTGTGCAACCTACTCTTAAAAATGTTCAGGTATGGAGATGCCACAGCTTTTCTAGTTAACTTGTTCCAATGTTTGACCATCCTGATAGTCAGAAAGTTCTTCCTGATCCCCAACCTAAATTTCCTCTGTTTCAGCTTGAGGCCATTTTTCCTAGTTCTGTCCCCTATGGCCACAGAGTAAAATCCATCTGCATCTTCTCTGAAATTGCCCTTCAGGTATCTGGAGGCCATTATCAAATTCCCAGTCACTCTTCTCTTCTCCGGAAAAACTACCCTAGTTCTTTCAAGACTTTTTCATAAGTTATGCTTCCCAAGGCACTGCAAGACCAAACTAGATATGAGGTTCTTCATCAGTGCCTTACTGAGAGGCTCTATGACCTACCTGATGACATCCAGGCACATTGGGAAGAGCTTAAGAATGGTATTCACAAGGCATGTGCTGATTCAGTTGGATACTCCACTTACCATCACCAAGATTGGTTCAATGGGAATAATGAGGAAATCCTAGCACCTATCCATCAGAAGTGAACCATGCTCTGCAGCTGGCAAAATGAACCCTCCAACCAGCAAAAATGAGAGGCATACCACTGGCTTAAAACTGTAGTTCAGAGGAGGCTATGGGACATCAAGAACCAGTGGTGGCAAGCAAAGGACATGGAAATCCAGAGTTTTGATTATCAACATGACATAAGAAGCTTCTTTCAAGCAATAAAAGCCATCCACAGGCCATGTTCCAATGGCCCAGTGCCCTTGCAATCCCAGGACAGTTCCACCCTTCTCATGGATAATGTATCCATCAAACAACGCTGCAAAGAGCACTTTGATATTCTACTCAACTGTGAATCTGAGGTTTCAGCTGCCACCACTGAGTCTATCCCTCAACACCCAGTAATAGAATCTCTTAATGATCCCCCATCTTTCAAGGAAGTCTGGCATGCCATCACTCAGACCAAGAACAATAAGGCATCAGGACCAGATGGAATTCCTGCAGAGGTCTTCAAAGCTGGTGGAACAGCACAAACGCAAAAACTTCACAAACTTGAAGCATGGCTTTTAGACCATGGTGGGGTACCGTCAACACGATTATTGTTGCACAGCAGATCCAGAAGAAGTGTAGAGAGCAACACCAGGAGCTGTTTGTGGTATTCATTGACCTAACCCCAAGGCCTTTGTCTCCATCAATCATGAAGCCTTATGGAATGTGCTGGGTAGATTTGGTTGTCCCCTGAAGTTCATCAGCATCCTCAGGCTACGCTGTGGTGGGATGACCACCACAGTCCTTTGCAATGGATCAGAGATAGACCCATTTACCATCTGTACTGATGTAAAACAAGTCTGCATCATCACCCCAATCCTTTTCTCCATCTATTTTTGTGCAATTTTGATTCTCATCCTTGACTACCTTCCTCCTGGAATTGGGTTTGAGTATCAAATGAATGTTCAGCTTTTCAACCTGCAGCACCTTCACAGCAAAACCACAGTTACCAAGACTGGCATCACTGACCTTCAGTACACTGACAACTCCTTGTGCACACTGAGACTGATCTGTAGTCCACCCTTCACCTTTTTTCAGGTGCCTATTATAGCCTGGGATACTCCCTTAATACTGGCAAGACCAAGGTGCTCCATAAGCCTGCCTCAGTACAAGTGTCAGGTTTGGGGTGATTTTCTTTTAAACTAACTTGTATCCATTTCACTTTTGTACTACTTTGCCTAAGGTAAAACTAACTTGTATCCATTTTACTTTGATTATATCCATTTACTTTTGTATGACTTAACCTAAGATAAACTCCATTTAATTTCGGGTACTGCTTAGCTTAAGTGTAATGCCATTCTGTTACACTTCTCTTTCTGTTTGGATGTGGTATGCATGTGATAAGATAGTTCAACAGCCAAAGGTTGTAGTAACCTCCTGTTTCAACAGCTGAAGATTACAGACAGAGAAACCCAAAGCAAAGAAGAATCCACCTAAACAACAAGTCTGAGCAAACCATGTGTGATCCAACTACAAAGAACTGAAGACATGCAGCTAGGACATGAACACCCTGACACAGCAAGGTGCATAGACATATATGGGAGACAGCTACCATAAAAGGTAAGTGAGAATAAAGAAGCTTTGGGTACATTCTACACAACAACAATGGAGCATTGGTACACGTCCGACAGAGGCCTGGCTCCCTTTGTGCTCAGCTTAGCTTGCCAGTAAGCTGAATCAAGCAACTAAAAGACTGATAACATCTTAGCATCAGCAGAACTCTGTGTGTGTGCGCGTGTGTGGTTTGAATGTATTTGTACTTTCAATAAATATGGCGTATTGCCTTGTCCCCAATAAATATTCCACTTGTTTTCAATATACTGTACGCTCAGTGTGTACAACACAACCTTCCTTCCCTCCCCCCGCCCCCTCACAAATTACCATTGGTGGAGACCCCCTGGAAAATGTCAAGCATTTCCCATACCTTGGCAGCCACCTCTCCTAGTCAGTCAGTCTTGATGGAGAAATCAAACAGGATTTGCTGTGGCAGCGTATCCTTTGGAAACCTGGTTCACCATGTCTTTGCTGACCAAGATCTGCATATGTAAACTAAGATCCTGGTCTACAA